ACGTTTGTAAGTTCGCATGTTCTAGAAACGTCCGTCCCAAAAGTCCTACGGATGTTCTCAAGATTTAAATTTCGGATGTTCTAGAAACGTCCGTCCAAAAAATCCTACGGATGTTCTCAAGACTTAAGTTTTGGATGGTTTCGTTTAGTACTTTTGCCAATGTCATTCCGTGCAAGGTGATGGAACCCCATGAACAAGGTGTCAGTCTTTAAAGAATCAATAAAAAAGTGTAATGACACTAGTGGTTTTGTGCGAAAACCTCAAGAAAGTTGAAAAAAACATGTTTTTTCTTAAACTGTCTCTAACCAACACAGAATCAGAGTTTTGCTGTGAAAATAGAAATAAACACAATGTATTTGGAGATCATAATCCCCAGACCTATATTTTCATTATAATTCCTTATAGGAAATTTAACCTTTTATTTATTAACAGGAACTAACTAGATCTAAATTCTACTAAGTATGGAAATCGCGGGAAAGTTAATCTTTTATTTGTTAAACACAAACCATCCTAACCTAACTCCTGTCACCTTGCATATATAGAGTGAAACCTAACCGCAATTTTAAACATTTGCGAAACGTTTCGTATACGTCTTTTAAGACATTACCATAGCGTTTTTAAAATCTCTTTAAACGTTCCCAAAACGTACAGAGAATGTTACTTTTACACATTCGAGAAACGTTCTGAGAATGTTGTTACAGGACGTCCTTAGGACGTTCCTATTTGTATATAGGACCTTCCTAGGACATTTAAAGATCTTAACGAGGACCTAACGGGGACATATAGACCTTTTCAGGACATCCTCCGAATGTACCGAACATCCGGAGCGTACGTTCTCCAGACGTACATAGGACGTTTATGTGCTATTTGAGCGATAAGTTGCAAAATAATTATTTCTAATACCTTGGATAAGCTGTTAATTTTTAAAAATTATACCTACTTACATTGTCCTGCGTACACAGAAGTGTACACAGAATGTAGTGTCCGAATAAAAGCAGCTTAAAAAAGCTTTAAATTATCTTAACTTTAAATTAGTTCAGAATAAGTTATTTGATTATAAAATAAAATAAAGATAGTCATTCTATTCTTATAACGTCCCTTAATTTGCAAAATGCAATAAAATAAGAATTCTAATAATGTTCAACACTATTTATGTATTATGTATTATTGAAATATAGTATTCTAAGTTTTAGATGTTAATATCTGAAATTGTGAATTTGCATAAACTTTCACAATCTACCCATAAACAATAAAACGCAACTTCCAGTACAATAATACCTAATTAACAACCTCTATTAATAATTCTTTCGGTGACCGTGTTTTTGAAATTCGAGTTACATTTACGTTAATTACAGAGATGATACGATTTAATCAAAAGGTTTAATCTGACCCGCAGAAACGTTAATTGCGTGGGCTTATCATCAACTGAATCACAGAGAAAACCGGCAGTGTTGTTTCTTCTACGCTTATGCCGGCATCAGGGTACAGAATAGCATTATGAGAATATTTTCGAGACACCCATGGAAGAAAGAGATAGGATAAATCAAGCTCTGGTTCAAAGAAGAAGGAAAAACGACGTAGAGTAAACCAACCAATGAATAACCGAATTATTGAATTTATAAACGTTTGAGATTAATACTTGGAAACAGCTTTGAAATTGTAGTTACGTTTATTTTTTTTTGAAATTTTTATAAAAATAATTACTTATTCTCATCGTAATTTTTAAAAAATTATTGATAATGTGCAAAACGTGTAAAAGCCCAGTAAATTACTGCTACATTTCTGAAATATTTTTATATAATAAAAATTGTACTTATTAATGTTTGCTTATGTACACTAAACTAAAAATATGGGATATTAAACGTACAACTATATTCTATTTAGAAACATTTAATAATTTTAAATTTATAATTTACATTTGTTTGCTTAATCGTCATTCGCTAGTATGCAGTCAATTACTGGTTGGTTTACCCTACCAGGTAGAAACTTCAGCTTCAGTTTGTTGTACGCCATTTCTGTGCGATGCGCAAAACAAATCGTGCATAGAATAGGATTAGTTTCTTTATAATTAAAATTTTAGTTACTCAAGCAAACTCACAGAATTGTTCTCCGTTCTAGAACTCGAAACGAGCTTGATTTAATTAGGACACAACAATGATACGAATAGTACAGCACAATCGAATAAAACGATATTTTAATGTGTCATATAATATACATGTATGAAGTTTACGTGACAGGAACGCGTAATTTATTTGATTTCCTATTTATCCAGAATTTCATTACTGTTGAATTATAAGTAATAATTAGACTGCGAATTTTATGCAATTGTCGCAATTGTGAATAAACAAAACGCAATGCAGTAACAATTTTCGTCAAGATCAATTTCACTTTACTTTGAACTCAATAAAACCGATAATAAAAGAAACAAATCTCAAACACATCTTGAGTTCAATAAATAAATTCATAACAATTTGTATTTGCATAATATTCCGCAGTCTACTAATAATTCAGCTGTTATTCCTTTCCAAAGTGGTATAAGTCCACTAATACTTTTTATTTTGGGATATTTAAGATTTTACATTTTATCCTATTTAAAAATATTATTTGGCAATAGTAAGCTTATTTTATACTTTCAAGACTCCAGACATGTTTAATTTTATTATGTGACTATTGTTATAAGTATTATCTGCAAGTAAAATAGAATTTTTGTTAATCGTAAATGGACATATACATCACTTTCAAAAATGATAAATTGTCAAAAATGTGACTAATACCAAACTTAAATTTATATTTCAATTGAAGCAGCCTTTTCTGCATTAGCGTAACTAGTAGGGGCCAGGGTGGGCCTGCGCCCCACCCCCTACCCCCAATGTGGGAGTTCGTTGTATTCGTCTCAACAAACACTATCATAATATGAATAAAAAAATGCAGGGTTACGTTTAAAAAAATTAACTTGACTTTGATATCTCCCCCACTACTACACTTATAGAAAAATTATTTATACCACGTAATGTCCCCCTTTGTACCAAACAACTTTTGTACGAACATTTTTTTGATAACTTTAATTCTTCGTAAGATATCCGCCGTTTCCAATTAAACGAAACACCCTGTATAATACAATATGATACAATATAAAGATTCCTATGATACAAACATTACCGAAAGCATAAATTTCTGTTGTTTAATACCATTACTGTCGAAGAAAGAAGTAGAATTATATGATTCATAATATTCCCTTAAAATAATAAAAGTACAGAGATTTAAGAACATACCTTCCAATATCGCAAAATAAACGGAACTTTACATAACTCCTTAAGCTACTAATAACAGTTGCTGAGTAGGTTGCATGAAAGCCCGCGCATTCCCATGAAATGAACATTGCAAATACGGCAAAATTTAACGGTAATTTTAGTCATTTCAACGGTGATATTAAACTGCCGAACGACGGTGAAACGCTCGGAAATTCGTTCACGTCTCGTCAGCGCGTGAAAATTTTAATCGAATTGTCGCGTGCATGCATCGGACCAGCTAAAGTATAAATAATTGTAGACTGACCGTACGTCGCCAGTGCCACTGGCGATTACACACCACCCCGCATAATTTCATTCAATTTGTATAAAATACAACAGGTAATCTAAGTGGCATGCTCTATTCACATTTAAATTACCATAATTTTTCAATCGAACGTACCACTTAAGAAACGTTGTTGAAACTGCTGACGCTACAAAATAAATTGTATTTATACTTACTTTTATTCACTGCTATGTTAAGCTTTACCAGTGAATCAGTTTTCTTTTTAACAGGGTCCATAAAACGAGAAACATTCGTAACCATTCACGGAACATTCGCGAAGTAAAATTTAAAATGACAAAGTAAATCTTACTTCAGTGAGAAGGCAAATACTTACGAGTTACGAGCACTACAGTGCACATTTACTATCAATTTCTGTATAACCATCAGTATGTAATTTCCTTTGGAAAACTTGTAAAACTATGTAGAATATTTGTAATATGTTAAATTCGTGTAAAATTACTGACTACAAATTATATGTTTATAATTGGGAATTTGGCATTCATAAAAGTATTTTTAAAACAAAGCAAATACATGTTGTGAACTCCTGTCTTCTGTAAAACGATACCTCATGAATAATTGTATTAATACATTGGTAGAATACATTGCTATATGTACGTAAAAATATTTAAACAAAGTCGTATGTTACTAAATTTCTATTATATCTCCATTTAATATATGTATATTAATAGTAATAATCAATATTTTAGAAGTTATTATAGATATTAATTATTATTATTGGTTTAGTTTACTAATGCATTCTTGCTTACCAAATCGTTCAAGTATATCTAATAACACATTTAGTCACAATAATATACTTCCTCAGAAATACGAGAAAAATAATAAAGTACAAAAATGTTTCAAATATTGCACGAGCCAAAGATAATGTCCCTCATAAATACCTCATAATTATGTTCAATGATAAAACTGAAACCTTACAATAGAAAAATTTATATCAACGAAGATTCCGTGATTTCAAAATAGTATTTCACAAATATTAAATGTTTCGTTTTACAAATCGAGAATTAATGTAAAAATTTCTTCATAACCCATTACCTTTAAGCCAGGACTACACACGGGCGTTTTATACGCAGTCTCGCACGCCAAATTTTCTCCGCCGAAATAGAAACCGTATGTTTTAATGCAACTGACTATACGTATGATCAAGCAACAATATTTTACCAAACACTAGACATTTAAAATTGTACCCAAAATATAATTTGCAACAATTAACACGACTTTCCGAATCGTTCACTAGCTAAAAATTGTAACAACAAACTACATAATTAAACTAATATCTCATAATCAATTATATTAATCACAATTAAATTAATACTACTAATCTATACAAAGATTCCAATTACATAATGAACATAAATTAAATAACATGCAAATTATAGAGCAGACATGTAAGTGAATTGTATAGTTTACTTTATTAATGCATCCTTTATTCATCAATGTATATCATTAACATGAATATCACATTATCAGTCACTATTCTGAATAAAAGTAAAAAAATTATTTATTTCTACATATGCTATATAATTTTATGCATTAAAACGAGATCAAAATGCAGGAATTATAAACGTCCACCTCTAAGTCGAAGAACTAAATGAAGAGTTGATTCTTTCTGAATGTTATAATCAGAAAGTGTGCGCCCATCTTCAAGTTGCTTTCCAGCAAAGATCAATCTCTGCTGATCTGGCGGAATTCCTTCTTTGTCCTGAATTTTTGCTTTTACATTCTCAATAGTGTCCGATGCTTCAACTTCCAAAGTAATGGTTTTTCCTGTAAGAGTCTTGACGAAGATTTGCATACCACCTCTCAGTCGAAGTACAAGGTGAAGTGTTGATTCCTTCTGAATGTTGTAATCTGAAAGTGTGCGCCCATCCTCAAGTTGTTTACCAGCGAAGATCAATCTCTGCTGATCTGGGGGGATTCCTTCCTTATCTTGAATTTTGGCTTTGACATTTTCAATAGTGTCAGAGGCTTCGACTTCCAAAGTGATGGTTTTTCCTGTAAGAGTCTTGACGAAGATTTGCATACCACCTCTCAGTCGAAGTACAAGGTGAAGTGTAGATTCCTTTTGAATGTTGTAATCAGAAAGTATACGCCCGTCCTCGAGTTGTTTACCAGCGAAAATCAATCTCTGCTGATCTGGTGGGATTCCTTCCTTATCTTGAATTTTAGCTTTGACATTTTCAATAGTATCTGAAGCTTCAACTTCCAAAGTGATAGTTTTTCCTGTAAGAGTCTTAACGAAAATTTGCATACCACCCCTCAATCGGAGTACAAGGTGAAGAGTAGATTCCTTCTGGATGTTGTAATCAGAAAGTGTACGTCCGTCCTCGAGTTGTTTACCAGCGAAAATCAATCTCTGCTGATCGGGTGGGATTCCTTCCTTATCTTGAATTTTAGCTTTGACATTTTCAATAGTATCTGAAGCTTCAACTTCCAAAGTGATGGTTTTTCCTGTAAGAGTCTTGACGAAAATTTGCATACCACCCCTCAATCGGAGTACAAGGTGAAGAGTAGATTCCTTCTGGATGTTGTAATCAGAAAGTGTACGTCCGTCCTCGAGTTGTTTACCAGCGAAAATCAATCTCTGCTGATCGGGTGGGATTCCTTCCTTATCTTGAATTTTAGCTTTGACATTTTCAATAGTATCTGAAGCTTCAACTTCCAAAGTGATGGTTTTTCCTGTAAGAGTCTTAACGAAGATTTGCATACCACCTCTCAGTCGAAGTACAAGGTGGAGAGTAGATTCCTTCTGAATATTATAATCTGAAAGTGTGCGTCCATCCTCAAGTTGTTTACCAGCGAAGATCAATCTTTGCTGGTCTGGTGGGATTCCTTCCTTATCTTGAATTTTTGCCTTTACATTCTCAATAGTGTCAGAGGCTTCAACTTCCAAAGTGATGGTTTTTCCTGTGAGAGTCTTAACAAAGATTTGCATACCACCTCTCAGTCGGAGTACAAGATGAAGTGTTGATTCCTTCTGAATATTATAATCTGAAAGTGTGCGCCCATCCTCAAGTTGTTTACCAGCGAAGATCAATCTCTGCTGATCTGGTGGGATTCCTTCCTTATCTTGAATTTTTGCCTTTACATTCTCAATAGTGTCGGATGCTTCAACTTCCAAGGTGATCGTTTTTCCTGTGAGAGTCTTAACAAAGATTTGCATACCACCTCTCAGTCGGAGTACAAGGTGAAGTGTTGATTCCTTCTGAATGTTGTAATCTGAAAGTGTGCGCCCATCTTCAAGTTGTTTACCAGCGAAGATTAATCTTTGCTGGTCTGGTGGGATTCCTTCCTTATCTTGAATTTTTGCTTTGACATTTTCAATGGTATCTGATGCCTCAACCTCAAGGGTTATTGTTTTACCAGTCAATGTCTTAACAAAGATCTGCATGTTTGCCTGCAAAAATATTAATTGATGTTAGAAACACATTAAATTTATTGTTAGTGAATCTGAAGATATTAATATATTTGACAATTATTAAAGTTTTGCATTGAATTGAAATCGTAAAAATTTCATAATGGATGCTTCAGAATAATTTGTTAACAAGTTCAGGACAGCAGCAAAATTACAGAAACGTTCGATACTGGCAGCATCTATTTAATGGGGTGGTTAGATATTACCAAAGCATTTACTAACATTTATGCTTATTTTATTAGTTTTCGAAAAGTTTTACCTATTAAATATACGTTTTTTCTTCAGAAAAAATGATAACATAATCTGATGACCCGCTGATGGGTCACGCCGCCTTCTCAAGCTATTTTATTGCAACCTATTTTATAATTTTCTATGAGAAAAGGAAAAACGTTTCTACCTGTCCTTCCAGATTTGATTTGCTACTTCTATTAACATTAGAAACTTCAGTTTTACATTCGTTATTCCGACAAACCACGATTATATTTAGTGTATATAATAATTCTACAAATATGTCAAATTCTACTTGCATGACAAATTTTGTTTAAATTCATGTTGTTTCCGTAAATATGTTAAGTTTCTCTATCCTTATAATGCTAAATTTATTAAAATTTTAGACGAAGAAAAAATACAAAGCATCCTCATGTTGTAAAACAATAGAATATATATTTATACAAAAGTATTAATGTTACAAAAACGTGACCTATATTGCGTTAGTTTATACTGTTATAGTTAAGCATTTTTCTTGTTGCGACCCACCCATACGTCATGTCATTAGATAAGATAGTTTCACGGTGGACGTATCGATGGGTCATATTAGCAAATAAAACATCATCCGTTTTATCCACTAGTGGATCACGCTGTCCTGAACGTGTTAAATCAAAAACTTCTAGTTCAGAACAATCTGAATGTCATTCTGTAATGGCGTCAATTTTGATGAATCAATAACCGCCATTTTATCGTCCATTACTACGCAGCAAAATTTTGCGGAATTATAGGCACAATTGCTTGAAGAATAACTTATTTCCCTTGAAGTAGTGAAACCCTAGTATTATAGTTCTATACACTTTAATTATAATTGGTGACTTTCGAAACCGTTACAAAAATAGATTTCAGAAATAATGACCATGATGGTTGACGCCTTGAAGGCCTAACTAAGTTGTGAAGACAATAAATACCACCTTTTAACCTCTGTTTTTCTACTTTTTAGAGCAAAAGAAAATTAATGCTCTTAAATGCTCTATTTTCAAACAGTATTAGATATCAATCAAGTACAATTCAATTTGAATCCAGTAAAAATCGAATGTTGTAGATCAACATTAACAAATCAGATAATATGCATAGTAACAACATAATTATATATAAAATTTCTTACCTCTTGTAGAAGTGCCTTGTAATGCAACAAATATTTCTATTAAAATTTAACAAAACTCTCGGTCTTCCTCAGAAATCGTTGAAACAGTTCGTACGACTGGACAGAGCCCCCACGAACGTTCTCTTTATGTTGCTAACAGGAAGTTGTACTGATCATGCGCAACGCATCATGAGACATCCGTAAAGATGCTTATTGGATTATATCTTTCTGTCGTCATTGGCTATGTGACGTTGTTGTATCCGATTGGTTTCTGACACAAAGAGTATTCTATTATATTTGTCCTATCCCTCGTTCAACGAACTTCGTTTATATTAATATCGTTTATAAAAATTACTTCTAGTATACTGTGGTTTTAAAAATAATGTCTCTTAGTTGACTAAAAATTTTTTTTCCTTTCTTTTTGGCTTGAACTGTCACATTTTGATGCAGGTAGATGGCGCACAAAAGTCTGAATTATTAAACAAAGGAAAACGATGAATCATTGTTTTTCATAATGATATTCTTTCTAGAAAATTAACCCTGTCTTCTATTTCTATCAAATACAAAAACTTAAAATAGAATGAGTTTTACACAGAAATAACATAAATAGGTTATGTTGAAGGTAATAACATAAGCCTGTACAAAAATGCAAAATGGAGAGAAAATTGATTCCATATACGTAACTATTATAGTAAATCTACTTGTGAAAGTCGGAATACGTAAGACAAAATAGAAGGTTTCAATGATTAATTGTCATGCTACGTTGCATCGTAATACGTATTAGGTTGATGCAACTATTTAGAAACTGATGAAACTCTTTAATGTAAAAAATAAGAAGAAATCGTTATTAAATTATAACCCAAGTAAATCTCTAAATTTAAATAGTCTGAGCCAGTATTAGAATAGTTTAGTTATATACCACCAACACATATTTTAAATATTTTGTGAATAATTTGTTTATTTATAGAATTGTGTTTTTTAAAAATTCAACGCGATATTACTTACCAATTAAAAATAGATATGAGTAATATTCGTTCGTTCTACGTAAATGTATTTTATTCGTTTTCATGTTTCTAAAAAATATCCAAATAACTAGATAAATTACACGACTGTTGGCAGATTAATTTTGTTTATGTGATTATTTCATACGAAATACATGATTATTTGAAAAACATGCTTTTATATATAATAGGCTATTTACATTTTTAGTTTCACTTTTCATCGGTGATATCGAAATAATCGATTTTAGTCAACTGCACAATTGTATAATTTGTTAAAAAAAAAAACAAATGAAAAAATGAAATGAAAACTCGCAGACTTTATGAATGTTTCCTCAAATTCACATTTGAATTTTAATAGAATTTAGATGAAATTCAAATTTTCAGTGTAACGTGAAGCAATTTTGTCACGTGCAAAAACTGGATATTAAACTTGCAAACAAGGTAGAATGGCACGAAAATGTTACATGCAGTCTTCTTTGTATATACATATGAAGAAACATTATGACGAAATCATCACCTTATTTTCAATATATACTGTTCAGTTCTTAATACTGAGCAAATAATATGTAGCATTTGTATTGAAAATTCCTCAAGGCTCTACACACATTTATTTTTTGCAGGTTACAAGGACTAAGTGAAGAAAGTTTGCGAATTTTCTTTGCAAAATACCTGCAAACATACAACGCACTGGGTTACATTAACATTTGGTTGAAATAACAATAAATTAAGAGTACATATGTATGTCATGTAGCTTGAGTATGTACAAATACATTTTCATTAATACTGTAAAACAGGAAACTAAAGGTGGCTAATGCTTTATTTTATGTTGATTTTTAAGCATGTGCCAGTTTAGTTAGCAAGAGAATTAAAATAGTCATACTACGACTACAAAATACAAGATTATGAGAAAATGATGGGATTAAATCAGTATGATCACTTGTATTAAACAGACTAGTTGCACCAAACAGAATCAATACGTCATATAAAATTACGTTCATAACTCAAACATAAATTAAGTCTTGAGTAATTCTGCCATTATCTTCTAATCTGTTTATTAGAAAATTAATATAGTATATCAGTCTCAGTTCTGCTCGGTGCCATCCAAAAATAAAGTAACTTCCTTTGTATGTAAGTGTTCGTTCTTGTAAAAAAATTACTTAGTAACCATAATCATACAGTCTGAGTGCTATTGTGTGTGTGGCCTTTATACTATAGAGGATTTCTCATTAGTCCAATTTGTTGTTTAAAAAAAAAACCTTTAATACAATACTACATACGAAAAGGAATATGGAAGTGAAGAAAATACTTATACTTATCGCATGCATGTTCGATTTATTCAAAGAGGATTTGCATGTGTACAACAGAAGATCCATACACTGTGTCAGAAAGAAATTTATTTCAATACGAACACGTTTTGAAGTGTTCAACTTCCTGCTAGGTTCGTTGTAAACAAAACTGCAGCAAAACATTAGGAATTCTTGACACGTGCACTTAACCCTCATTGGACAGCAAAGCGTCTATTTCAATAATCGACTTGCAACTCTGCTTTTTCTTGGAATCTCTTCTGCGTGAATTAATATACGCGGCGTGAACATACGAGTTAATTTGGTGCAGGAAACATACTGCACTTTATTACGACTACACACACAACATACACACGAATTCTCAATACAAACTAACCTACGCTTAACTTCAAAACTTATAAATGATCATTTTTACCACCCTTTCTAGTAAACTTCATCGTATATTGTGACTTTGAAATATAGCTAAATAAGTAATTCAAACTAATTAACGCATTCATTATTTCCTTTGACAGAATCATCTTAGTGCTGGAACTAGTCGTACCAATTGCCTGTTTGGGAAAGGTCTTAAGTCTTCACAAAGAGTCTTACAGACTAAACATAATTGCAAGTGTTCTTCTTACAAATTCTAAAAACAACAGCATTTACAGCTTGTAGTTAACATTGCAATATTTCGTGACATAAACCTAAAACGAGTGACGTCCGGAAAAATGACGTCTTTATAAGTCGGATGTTCGAAACGTATTTTAAATTTAAAATACTTGCAGAAATGCAATTAATATATCATTTTTCGCCTTTAAATGTTGGACTTAGTACTAGTAGGAAGGTGAAAAATCGATAACGTTACCACACGTATAAGATAAGGTCAAAGTATATAATGATATAATCCGATTTAATTATTCCTTTTCGCCATTAAAATTATAACTGCGAACTAAAACGATGCCACTAGTTGTCCAAAGAAATACCTACACTTGAAATAATCGTCGAAATAGAAATAGTTCAGTAGTTCTGATCGAAACTTTGACCCAATATAGACAGGTTTCATTGAACAAGCAATTGACACGAGGAAAATTTGTTTCTTACACTATATAAGTTATGAGTAAATCGATAAAGCGGATATTTTGGTAGATCTATTTGGAGTCTGTCTCCATTTTGATCTCCTCTGCTTTTTTATCTTTTTTTGAAGCCTCACTGTCCGTTCCTTCTCCGTTACTATTATCGCGTCTTCGTTTCCTAGCAAAACGGCCTTTATACTTGGGTGGAGGGAGCTGTTCCATGCCCAGAACTTTATGAATCTGTCGGAACGCAACTAATCGCAAAGCATGTTGAGCTGACGCAGTTATATCTTCTCTTTGCTGAGCCGTCATATTGCCAATTGCATCGACAGGTTCCTTCTCGCATGGATCAGACAATCCTGTAAGAAAACGTATCACGTATAAGTACCACGATTTATCATAATCCATACATTATTTTTAATACAAAGACTAAGAAATCAGACTGCCAAATCATCTACGCTATATCACGAAGTATTCACAGTGACGCAAAAATCGAAATACTCGATTTTAGAATCAACAATGAAATTCACGATACGCTCAGTCTCGTCATCTGTATCATCATTTTTCTCTTAAAGATTCACTGTGAAAAAGTTGAATCTCGTTTTCTTCATTAATGCAATCCCGTGCTTATAAATAAAGAAAGAAAAGTACCTGGACTTCCTGGAAGTAATATTCCTCCAGCAACACATTCTAAAAGCCTCCTTAAAGCTTCACCTGGACTGAGAGGGCCACCTGCAGTGCTGATCACTTTCTCAGTAAGCAGTTCCAATGCCTAAGAGTAATATCAAATACTTTAATTAAAACTTTATAATACAATTACAAATTTCGAAATAAAAAAGAACAAAATTAATTTAGCGTGAAATAATAATAACATAAGTATTTATACTATATTCAAAACGCAAATGACAATTTGAAATAACAAAAGTAAATATATAAAACAATTTGTTCTGTACTAACCCATGGGTTCAGTGGTCCCCAAGTAGGTACACGGTTACAAAGATCGCGCATTATGCGAATGACCATAACGCAGCTCTGCAGCGAAGTAGCTCTAGCCTGTTAAATATGATGAATACGTTAATATACACAATGTTATATGCACATTGAAATCTCTGAGTCTTCTGGAGATGCGACACCCTAACCTACTTTTAATTTGCTTTGTGTGGGCTTTAGCTATCCTCCCAGCCTCGTGCCTATAACCCCTAAAATATTAGCCCATATCAAAACTATCGGGTGTTTATTATTTCCTGAACAATTAATGCCTAACATAATATTTAAAAAAAAACGTACAACGTATGGAAAAAAATGTACACTCGGTAAAGTGCCAAATAGGATTCTTCAACTTATAATTGGAAAAACACCCGATATACTTATGACACCACTGTGTGTTTGTGCTTGTCTGTCTTGTAACATTCAACAGTGCTTACAAGGCACATTGTGTAGAAAGCATCGAACAAGATACACATTTATAAAGTACAAGAATGCTAATGTTAAGAACTTCTAAGACAGACCTAGAACAGACTCAGTCTAGGCTACAATGCATTAAGATTAAATCCAGAATAATGAATAAGGCTTGTTCATAAGCATCATAAAGCAGTTCAGTGCATTATAAACAAAATAAACAAAACTACATTCTTTGAAAAGAAGTTATGTACTCTGAAATGATTATCCGCAAACAGTTTCCTATTATTCTGGATGTTGATGATTGGAAGTAAAGCAAATGTAAGTTTTCAGTGTGCATCAACGTTTAAATTGCTACAGTTCACGCTTACATAATGCTTAAACTTCTTGTCTGAGACAATCTGAATACACGTTAAATGCTTCTGTTTCTCAATCACATCAAATATATGTACGCATTTTCTGGTTTTAATAAAATTGCCAATAACCAAACATTGCCACTGTTACCCACATAGGGCAATCATGATATATAACAACAATTCGACAAAACTTGCGGTATATCTTCCGTAAAAAAAAAAAGAGAACATCAGTGGACAAATTGTATTGGCAGATGTATAGAGTGTGAACATCAAACGTGATCAAATAAATGTTTCAGACAAAATCATATCAACAAGAAGATGATAATAAAAATAAAATTGTCACAAGGCTGGAAGTTCTAAGACTGCTCTTTTTGGCGGACAGAGAGAGAGAGGACAACTTGCACGCGTTTCGCGTTTTTAGGAGAAAGTAACAGAAAACAATCGTTTAGTGCCAATAAAAATGGCACCGACAATTCGAGATCTTGAACTGAGAGTTGATTGATTCAAACCTGAAACCACTTGGCATGCCTGAGTGCAGCTAAAGCCTCCAAACACTTAGCCTTGGGAAGTACATCTGGCGGATCTGGTTTCGTCACAGTGGGCGCCGCGGGCGTTGCTTGCGGTTGAGCAGCTCCCTGTTGCTGCTGTCCAGCATTATCTGAGATTCCAACAAAGAAAGCACAACACGCTTAGACAACACTTAGAGTGTTTGATCATGCCCAATTTGGGTTTCCCTCTATAATTATATTTCAACTCAAGCAGATTACAACTTGAGGGCCATAGCCTAAAACGTTCTCAATGAAACAAAAATAAACCTAATCGAATGTAGTACACGACAATGGTGAGTTACCCCCATTCATGTACGTCCTTTGTCAGTTAGAGATATATTTGATAAGAACGACCGATGTTTCTTCATCAAGTTGATAACATTACTCAAGATTAAATATGAAAGTAACGTTATCAAGAGAATCGTCGGTTAGAATAAGGAGTCTACTGCGCATTGTAGAACAGTCGTACAACATTCGATGACAGAGGGTTTTTAATAATTTTTAAATTATCAATGCATGATCAAAAAGTCCATAGTTTTAAGATTGCCTCAGCGTTGTTTCCTCATACCAAAAGCGTGTCCACGTTCATTGTTAGCATACTCTTCCTTACTGGAGACTCCAGCTCAGCTTATTCACGATAAAACTTATAAAATGTATCACTACGAGATAACTTAAACTGAAGAAAAACGTCTTAATCGTATCAAGTTTACGCTCTCTCTTTTCCGTTAAAAATTCAATACTTATAATACTTTTATGTACGCTCTTACATTATAGTTTTTCTTTCTTTAGTGTTTCTCGAAATTATTGGTCATAGTCAATCGTGGACACACTAAATTGCAGCTGTGTTGAAAAAGAAAGGAATATTGTATGTTAGAGCGTATATACACTGGCAACCGTTGAAGTCCTTGGCTGCCTCTGCATCTTCCTGGTGTATAAAAAATGTACAAAAAAGCTTTCGGGCCATGAAAAGAACAAACGAAATTCAGAAACCACACGATCGAGAAAACAGTATGAAAATAAAAGTTTTTTTTTTGTAAAATCGTGAAAATAATCATACAGTTATCCTTTTCTTGGCCACTACGAAAATAGAAAACGATCAAATCACCTGCAGCAGCTGCTGGTTTAGGCGTTTCGCGCATTAAAGGACTGGTGAGCGTAACGCTGACAGTCACGCTACCGCCTGAAACTGTTAAAGCAGCTGATTCCGGATGCTTTCCAACGTTATAAGTATCTTCTGGAGCTACGATCTTCAACTGGGCCGGAAGAATTTCAGCAACTTTATTCAGTAACGTCCTATAAGGAAAGAAATTTAGTAATCATACAAGCAAGTGAGTAATGTTGTAATAGTTAATATAACTAACTAACCGTGTTGGTTTCTCTGCGCAGAGAACCACAAGACAAACATGATTATCACCAGACAGCAGGAGTCCTTTCGCCAAATTACCAACACGCATAACACCCCTAAGTATCCTTGAATCCTCTTTTTCCTTTTGGAATGAAAATAGATTGCCATCACTGCCATCTTCTTTCTGGGGAGTTGTACTCTTCTTTTTGTCAGGGTCTTCTTTTACTTTTACCGCATCTGCATTTGGTTGTTGTTGTTGTACAGGTGTGGCGGGTGTTGCTGGTGTAGCATTTGTTGTAGGTGCTGGAGTTGCAGTTTTTTTACCTATAATTAAACAAATATTTTCATTGATTATCTAATAAGAAATCAAAGATAAAAAAACTTGTAAGAAAAATTTAAGTATTTACCAGCTTCTGCTAAAGTGTCAGACACGAATTTCAATGCTTTTTCAGTGTCTGAAACTATTTTCTGAACTGCCAGCAGTTCCTGCTCCTTCGGATAAATATTTGTATGATGAGATAACACATGTTTGTCATCAGAAGAATCTGGCCTCCTCTGAGGGCCAGGGAACATCATCATCGGAGGTGGTCCTGGGAAAGGACGCGGCATTGGCGGAGCCCCTGGACCACGTCCGTAACGTCGATACCATTCATAATATTCGCATTCCTCTTCATATCGTCGACGTTCTTCCCAATACATCATTTCCTCGTCCATCATCGGACCCATTGGTCCCAATTGATTAATTTCTTCCCTACGACGTAAGTATTCGTCTCGCATTTGTTGTCTGCGTAGTTTCTCTTCTAACAACTTTCTCTGTTTCAAGCTTGGTTTCATATCAACAACCAAATCCGGATTAACCTTTTTCTTGTAAGCAAATCTGTGCCGTCTTCCTTTCATATGCATGTCCTTGGCATTAGGATCATTAAATCTACATTCACAAAGTTTGCAGTTAAAACTTATAATTTTTCCATCTTCAGATTTATTCTCTTCTATATATTCTTGGCCAACTGGCTGAATATCTTTCTCATCAACAGCTGTCTCTTCTACAGTTTCTTCTGTTGTAGTTTCTTCTGATTTAATTTCTGCAGTTTGATTTTGATTTACAGTTCCTAAATTTCCAGCTGTAAAAAAGATACACCATTGTGTCATTGTACATATGTTAATATGTTTAAACAATTTATATCACATATTTACACGTGAAGTCATAGATGAACAAAAAAAAAATACTTACAAGCAACGAAATTAATTTTAGGAGTAGCTGTTACTGTTGGCTTTTTAGCACTTCCAGTTTTAACAGCAGCTGCAGGCTTTGGATTCAGAACAGTTGGGTCTGCACTTGGTATTGGTTTTCCAAGTTTAGTGTGTAGCTTGACAACCTTTTGATGTTTGGCTCCTCTGATGTGTGCAGCGTATGCATCATTTCCAGTACATGTGACATCGCAAAGCTCACATCGTAGACTGTTCCCTGCTCCACGTGCTGGTGGTTGCTGTGGTACCTTCAGAGAAGCTTCCTTCTTCTTGTGCTTCTGACCCTCCAGATGCTCACGATATGTCTGAGGTCCAGCACAGCTGATTTTACAGACATCGCAATAGTGAAGTTGTTGAGGTTTGGGGGGCTGCTTGGGTCGCATTGCTTTCATCCCTCCCCCTACAGCACCAAATCCTTTCCGCGCGTAGCCCTGCCAACCTCCAGTCTTCTGGTTAGTCGAATTGCTGTTTGCACTCTGTTGGGCTACATACATAGTCGCAGCGCTATATAGCGCTGCGTCGTAGCCGGAATACGTCGTACTCGCCGTTTCTAAAGGAAATGAAATTGAAACCTCAAACTTTGGAGGAGTCAATTCTTTGTATTCATGGAACCATTCTACTAACTTGTACTTATCGATACAAGTACGTTATACTTTCATTGAAATATTTGTAAGATATAGTATATAATATTCAGAAATTACTATATAATATTGTAGTTATATTAATTTTTTAATTTGTAAACAGTTTCAATTCTGCAGAACTTTCAAACTATATTGTGGTTTAAAACATTAGCAGAATTTTATTTATTATTTATACGTATAAATTTCAGTAGCCAGAGGATCAATTTCATGTTATTAGTGTCTACGTCACGGTTAATAGGACATTTACGCAGGATTTTGAATTTTGGCGAAAAACATTTATAAATACTTCGAACACTTACTATTTGTTGATGTTGATGGTGTAGCAGCAGGAGTAGCTGGTGCTGTATATCCAGAAGAATATGTTGCGCTTTGTGTAGGATTGGATTGCTGATAAGCAGTACTCGATGCTTGGTATGTTTTAGCTTGTCCAGTAGTGGTAGCTTGTCTCGCCGTGCCTGTGTAAGCACTAGTTGTACTATACGCAGGTTTCGCAGCTTGGTAATGTGTCTCTGTAGTGGTATAAGTTGCAGCTGCTGCTGCAGGTTGTTGATAATATGTCTTAGTAGCGTCGTATGTCGCTGCTGGTGCAGCACGTCCGTAACCGTAATCGTATGTCTGAGCCACTGTACCAGGATTAGCAGCTACAACAGAAAAATACACAACAAAAATGTACAAAATCAAACGAGCTTCGCGAACTTTCTCGAGAGTGGTAGGGTTAACATTTCAACTTTGATACTATAGACGAAACCGTCGAAAAATGGAAAATGAAATATATGAAAGAAAAACATTCTACCAGCGTATGTAGTCCCTGTAGCGGCTGCAGCAGCGGCCGCTTGGTAAGTTTCGTAACCTGTAGCCGCGGCGGCAGCGGGTCGTTGCGTGTACGTGGCGGCGGTTGCCGCTGGAGTTACTGCGTATCCCGCTTGACCAGTCTGATAAGCGGCTGCACTGGTCGCTCTAATCGAAAGAATAAATAGATTTTATTACGAACAAGATACAAAAAGAAAAATGGAAACGGGCAAAACGAAAAAGACCTCTATCGGATCCGTGCCCGGGAGAGACGCTCGATGGACGCTCTAACTCTCAGCAAGAAATGGCGGCTAAGCCGGCTGGGCTCTCGCGTGCACCGATTTTAACGAACAGTTATTACTCCCGCCAACGTAGTTACCGACACGATTTTTTCATAAACTTAACACTAGCTACTTAATAATTATGGTATGCAATCGATTTCGTACCCATATTGCGTTCCGCCGTGAGTAAACCCAAAATAATTGTTCTGAGCCATCCTTCCTCGCAGAGAATCCCGGAAAGAAGGACAATGGAGGAAGTTGTAGGGCGTGCCACGAACTCGTTAGAATGGCGGCGCTGCCGCGGCTCCTATTGGTTATTCTGTTGGAGCCGGGCGCAACAATTGCAAGAATGCCGCGCCCTCAGTGGCCGCTTCCACGAGAACCCTGCGTCGTCCTCCGACAAACTACTTCCGCGCAAATCAACGCGCTACCATACTAGCCAGAGAAACTACCGCGAGAAAGTATTCACGAAGCGGACAAGTGTAATACGGTTGATTGGAACTTAACTTACTGCGTGTTTCTCGTTATCTCCGCTTTCCGGGGCAGTATGTAGTTTGCGAAATTTTCGCGGCTGGTGCGTGTTGCGACGAACGTCCGGCGTGCGCAAGGAAGGGCTAGTTTGCCGGCGACGCGTGCGTTTAATGAATTTTTTCGACGCCCCCTAGCAGCAACTACTCCTATCGTTGAAATTGAAGCGCACTCTAGTAGATTTACTACAAATCGTAGTGGAATCCTTTTCAACTTGGACAACAAATTTCAACGTGACAACCTTCTTTAATACGTCGACACATAGTTGAAGTAATATCTTTTTTTTTTTTGTACAACAACATAATACAACATGCCGCCACAATTAGCAATGAAAAAACATGCTAAATATTTTCAAAGCATACTACAAATGATACCCAGTGATTGGGAAAGCTATGATGATTCCAGAATTGCTATAGCGTTTTTTGCTATATCAGGACTAGATGTATTAAATTGCTTAAATTACCTTAGCAAAGAAACAAAATTAGAGGCAATAGACTGGATCTATAGGCAACAACTTGTTGGAATTGGACCACGTTCAGGTTTTCGACCATCTATAATGGTACCAAAGAACATTCCAAATTATCAGTGTGGTCATTTAGCAATGACGTACTTAGCATTAGGTAGCCTTTTAATTCTTGAAGATGATTTAAGCAAAGTGGATAAAAAATCCATTTTAGAAGGCATGCGAGCTTGCCAAAAGCCAGATGGAACTTTTTCAGCTGTTCTAATGGGAGGTGAAAGTGATATGCGATTTCTTTATTGTGCCTGTTGTATATCTGCAATCTTAAATGATTGGTCAGGCATGGACAAAGCAAGAGCTATTGACTATATTTTAAATAGCATTGTAAGTCTTCATTTTTATTTATTTTTATTTTGCTTATAAAGACCATTAACAAAAACTGCTTTGTTTACTTAATTTTATCATAGCGTAATCTCAACAATAATTATAGTCATATGATGGAGCAATTGGACAAGGACCTGGTCTTGAATCACACGGAGGATCTACATTTTGTGCTGTAGCTAGTCTATGTCTCATGAATGAGCTTCATAATGTCTTGACAAATGATCAGTTAAATAGATTGAGAAGATGGTGTCTCATGAGGCAAGATAGTGGTTTTCATGGACGACCTGGAAAGCCGTCTGACACATGTTATAGTTTTTGGGTTGGTGCTACCCTACAATTGCTCGATTTTAACAAATTTCCTGATCCAGAAAAAAATAGAGCGTTTGTTCTTACTACGCAAAATGGAATTATAGGCGGGTTTGCAAAATTTGCTAAATGTCAACCTGATCCGCATCATACATACTTGGGTATATAAGAATTAAAACTGATATAGGAAACATTTTCTAAAATAATAGCAGTATATAATATATATTTTTCATTCCTTAGGTTTATGTGGTTTAAGTCTTGCAGGAGAGACAGGTTTAAGTATAGTAAATGCTGCTCTAAATATCACCGATAGAGCATATAAACATTTATTGAAACTCCATGATGTATGGTAATGTTATTAACATTTACACTAAATACTTTGAACAACTAAATACCATATCAAGCGCACTTAAGGACTGTGGAGTTAATACATGAAGAAAATAAGTAACAGTTTCGCATTTTGTCAATGAATACTGTTTGTATAGTTCTTAAAAGTTCTCTGTGCTGAGAACCATTATTCTAAAAGCGTCAATTAAGAAGAATGATATGATTTCGTGATATATTATCACTGGTTTGTCTCAACCGAGATAGTTATTAAAGATATATAATTTCTGGTACATCCAGAAGTGAAAAGAATAACGTAATTCAGACACAGTTAAGTGTCAATAATGATTCATTATATAGAAATTTTAAAAGTTACAATAAAACTTCAAAAAACATAGTAATGAGTGTTTGTTATTGTTATCCTTTTATTTAATAATGTACATTCAATAAATACCTATAATTTTTATTTAAATTTTTAAGTAGGAAAAAATTCAAAAACCTGATATCTGCTATAAGAAACATAAATTTGCTAACATGGAGTTGTACGATTATGTCAAGTTTTTTCATGTTTGGAGCTATAACGACCTCCATGATGATGAACGATCGCGGACTGTGAGGAAAGAAACTCCTTGACACTATGCGAACTGCGAAGTTGCCTAAGCGCAGCAGCTGGCTCAGACGCCCCACCTCGCGGAACGATGATTCCATGGTAACCGGGGTGGGTTCGCAGCCACAACACACTGAACACTGAACAGACGACGTTCGTTCGTTCGTTCGAAAGGACTACGAGACACTCTGGACTGTGACTATTATAGCCGGTGCAATTGTCATCTTTTTTTTTGCATTCTTGTGAATAGTGTTACTTCCATTCAGTTTGACAGAACATTTGGTTAAAGCTCCGTCATATTTGTGAAATTTGTTACGTATGCAGTGTGAAATATAAACAAAACAATAGAACAATATCTATCTTCCAACCGTCGGAAGAGAGAAACTTCATTGTTAAGTGTTGGGTTCGCGTTCGCGACCCAGAATATCAACAAAGGTTAGTATGCGCCCATAATTTATGTTATTACGATAACGGCAAACTACATTTTACGTTACTAAAAAATAAATTACTTTATGAAAATCAAATGTAAATTAAGATAAGTTTATTGTCACGTAAATACGTAACTGTAGAAAATTCATTTGATACAATATTTATTTTGAAGGATAACTTTTACTGAAAAGTATTAATTAGACTATAGACATAAATAATGTAGATATTTATTATATTTGATTTAGCTTTACGCAACTATTCAGTATAGATTTTCTTCTGGATCTTTTGTAAATATTTCAAATGTAAGTAGTTTCGGTTGTGTGATATGATAACATCGTACTAAAAATACTTTTAATACATGCGGTGAAGAACTAAGCTTAATTATATACACGAAAAGGTATTCAATCAGAAGAAAAGTTAACGACAATTTTATGACGACTGCATTATATCTAGTATCATTTACACATTACTCTTGAGTCTCACAGAGCGGAAAGTGCGTAACCCAGGGAAACTCGAGTTTCGCAAAACCGTATCTGCTTAATTGCGTCATTTACAATTAGTCATGGCCGAACGGATGTGTGTATAACTTAATTTATTACATGTGTCTCTCTGTCACTGTGAAAATGATGGATACCAACAAAGACTGACAGAATAATGTTATAGCGAGCGTATATATTTAGAAATAACGGGTAAAGCCTTTTCCAAGGTATCGCAAATTAATCGATTATCGGTACAGCGTAAAAATTTCTACGGTGCATGATTTTCATCCCCGCGGTCGGCCGAACACGTGAAGAGAAGAAAGAAAGAAAGGAGGAACAGTAATACCAGGGTAAACAGCTTTTTCGTCTCTACGAAGCGTAGTCTACAAATAGAGAACGTTAAGGAGTAACCATGCAATGAATGATGCTCTTGTATAGCCCGCGCTCATCGTCTGTTTCTAATTACTGGCAAATTCACCGCACTCCAGTTTTTCATGAGTCTCTCTTTTCCCGTCTCTGTGAGTTTGTAACTTTATTCACAGTATTTAACGAACCGATCCAAGTTACAACAGCCAATTTACTTTCTTAAATTTACATTAAATTTTAATTGAATAACATTTCCAAGTAATGAAAATTACAGTAAACATGTAATGATATTTGGAGTAATTAGGTTATTCTGATTCAAATAAATTGTTCGCGAGACTCATATGACATCTTGTTGCTGTAACGTGTAAAATACGATTTCCTCATCATGCCTAGCTGATTTGGCCTTGAGTTAACTGTCCTGTTTTAAATCAGTAACAGCAACAAAAAGATACCCCTCCTAGAATACCGCATAGCAATATTCAAAATCTGCATGTATCGATATTATATGTATATATTCATACAATAGTCGCTACAAATGAACTTTTTTAAACCGTTTTAATAAATTATGTATATTATTCAACTATGACATGTGTTCTAAAACTAATAAATATTATTCTGAGCCTTTTCACATAATTTTGAATTATATATCGTATATTTTTAAATTAAAAACATTTTTAAATTGAAAGGTTAGGATTGCGGACACGATTCACAGTGTATGTATATTTTACGGCAGAATGTTGCGAGCGCAGATCAGTATCTAAAAAGGAGGACCATGACAACCATAAACGCGGTTCTCTCAAAAGTCGTATTTAACAGATCAACGTGTGACCCTTGTAGGTAGAAAAAACGTACATGTACTTAATCCGTCTAAATGGTAACTTTGCTCGTGTGACCACGTGCGCGTTGCGGACTGTAATGGTATGTGTGTGTGACCGTATACGTACCTTGAGCTCAACACGTTGATCGGGGGGCAGGTGGTGGGTATATTCTCAGACAAGATGCTCAGTTTAACAAGGAGGTTCGTGCCAGTTGCACAGCTGTCGGTGTGACAGCTGCATCTTTCGAAATAAAAAGAAAAACGTTACGGAAATATAAGGACAGTGGAACAACAAAGAGTCATTATTTGAATCGTCTAAAAAAATTAGGCATAGGTATATTATATTAACACATTGTCTACCGCTTCAATATACAAAGTGATATCTAATTTTTTTACTTCGCACATCATAACCTATTGTATAAACACGTGTCAAGGCATGTATTATACATTATACATATAGAAACTCTATCGCTCACACTGTAATGTGTAATGTATAAAGTTAAACAATATATGCAATATTGAAAAATAAGCTGTATAATTATATTCATGTCACGACAAGAAATTAATAACGAATAATACATCCTTTTCGTCAACGAGTTAATAAATAACGGTAAAACGTTTTTCTCGTATTTGTTGTATAATACGTTGGCTTTATCGTAAAACACAAAATGGGAATTATGTATATAGAAAAATGAATGAACAATTACTTAATTCTACACAGACGAAAGTAGGAAAATTATCACCAAAACTGAAGAGTAGTGAGGGAATCAGTATATTTTAACTTTAACGATAGTAATGGAGCTAAAAACTACAGTATACAGGGGTATTAATTTATCGAAAAGTGTTATTTGTTTGTGTTTACCGTTTCACGCTTAATCGCTTGAGAATAATGCGTTTTTAAATTTGTTCCACCGATGTTATTTACGTAATGTTGATATTTGATTTTAGTTCAATCGATTGGAACAGCAAGTGCATACACGGTGCATATATATTTTTTAAAATATAGGTTTTGCGTATACATATTAAGAAGCGTAGGCGCATGCATATTCCTCGACATGTCGCGATAATATGAAGCAGATGATTAATTATAGAAATGACCAATCCTTTTGTCTGAAGGTGTATACCTACCCGTTTCTGTATTGTACCTTGAATTTTCTAGCTTTTGGAAATAAAGCTATTTCACAAGTTAATCGACAAATTTATTCCGTGTATCAGTCAAAACAACCTGTCAGCTAGAATGATGTCACTAGCGAGGTCAAGAACCGTGAAACGCAATTCAGCTTCAACCAATCGCACGTGTGTGCTCCAGATTGAAATTGTTTAAATATTTAACACACCGTTACTGGAAAGCTATAAATAAAATATTTTTTGTCATTTAAATTCTTTAAAACAAAATTAATTACAGTTCTATTTCAGAGTTTAGTTGCAATCTAACATATTATCTTATCGGTTAAGTGGTCGTTGATCTTGAATTTGCTTTAATTGATAGAGTTCACGTATTATTTAGAAAATTTCATGTTATTTTATCTTATCTTCTCTTGTTAATTTTACAGTTCGAAAAGTATACAATCTTTAGTGAGTATGTGCAGGTCTAAATGATTCACTGGTGATTCATGACATAAGATAAAGAGAACAGTGTTTATTGTTTTTCTACAGAATAATGACTTCTGATATTCAATGTTGAAGCATAAAAAAAAGAACACAAAGACCAATTTATTTCACATAGATAAATCTCAGAATGGAAACTTTTGACCAGTTTTTAAGCTGTTTTAACACAAGACTAAACGCTTATGTTAGATAGAATTCCGATAGCAACGGAAGTATGTATTAAAGTTTAACACCGTTAAATATGTATACATATGTATGTGCACGCGAGTGAATAGTATCGTGTATTCCAGAGTGCGTTGCTCGGTAACGTTATTTAAAATAGAAGAAAGTAGAAGGCTTTAGAAAACATTCCTCATGAGATTCTAAATAATAATTAGAGAGTCATTCGGGTAATTGTAAAAAAAAAAGACAAAGAGTTCGTAGAATGCCTAAGGAAAATGAAACGTTACTCAAGCGTCGAAGTTACTGTGAACAACAATGCTTAATACGGGTACTCGAATGGAAGAGCGACCGTTTAATTGGCGCGTGTAACGACTCGATCGATTGTAGTTAGGAAACAGCTAAGGAAAGAGAGGGAAAGTCCTGCAATCGATCCCCCTCCGTTTTCTCGCAAAACTGTCCGAGGTAGCTTGATACGGTGATACATCAATTAAGACCCGTTTTAAATGGAATTTCATTTCGTTCTTACCAAGAATGGTGCATTAGGAATGCAGTTCTCGTGCTTGCATAAGTGTAACGTATATGAATTA